TTATTTGTTTAATACTCAGTCTCCCTAGAAAGGAGAAAACAGGCTCCAAGAGATTAAATTAAACAGTTTGCTCAAATTGATGCAGATAGTGTCAGACTTGGAAACTAGACCCAGGCCTGACTCCCCAATATTGCTCTTCCTTGCCCTGTCACCTTGTTCTCTCCTACTCTCTGCCTATCCTGTATAAAGACATAGAGCTGTCATGGTCTGCATCAGCTCCAGAGGTTAGGGTGGACAATAGCAATCAATTTATGAAGGAAGCTTCTTTTGCCCTGAAACCATAGCAAAGCAGACTAAGTGAATTCTCTGCCTTTATACAGGGTTTGGAGACTAGTGATAGAATCACAGTACTTCCAAGGAGAGTATTCCTTACCTGTGAATAAGGGGCAGTAACTGGCTCTGCCTCTCACAGGTTCCTCCTTACCCCTGCAGGGCTTTTTCCAAGTTGCCTTAAACCTTCTGTTATTTGTGAATATGACCACAGGTTACTTTAGGTTTCCCTTTCTACAATTTCTCTTGACTAATAATATTCATCTTGGGCTCAAGACCCATTTCCTCCAAGGCACACGCTCTGAATAACCTCTCTCAGCCTCTCAGCTTGGTTTGCTTCCTCACTTATAGTTTCCTTTTCTTTGAGACAGAGTATCACTCATTTTCTGGGACTGGAATGCAGAGGCATCAGCGTAGCTCACTGCAATCTCAACCTCTTAGGCTGAGGCAATTCTCCTGCCTCAGCCTTCTTAGTAGCTGGGACTATAGGCACCAATACTGTATCTGGCTAATATTTCTATTTTTAGTAGAGACAGGTCTCACTCTTGTTGAGGCTGATTTTGAACTCCTGAGCTAAAGTGATCCACCTGCCTTGGCCTCTCAGAGTGCTATGATTATATTTTATCATGTACACATTTTACCCACTAATTGTACATGCCAGGCATGGCATTTATTCATTTAATCACCATAATACTTATTCATCCATAAAATATTGATTATCCATTATACATCTGCTATGTTTCAAGAACTGACCCATACCCTGGGGACAAAAGGTTAATAACTACAGAATTATTCTCATGGAGTTTAGAGGAGAGAGAAGGATTAACCAAAGAATCTCAGAAATATATAAATAGAGGTTAAGTGTTTTGAATGAAAGAAATATGGTGTCATGAAAGTATATAACAGAGAAATCTAACCCAGAGAGTGGTAACGGGAAAGGCTGCACCAAGGAAATGAAATATGATCTGAGATCTAGTGGATAAGTAATAGCCAACTGGAAGAGTGAGTGAGAGGAAGAGAGTATGTGTGTTGGTGGTGGTGGCGAGTGGACAGGAGGACGGGTCTGAGAGCAGGCCAGTGTGGATGGATCAGGGAGAATGAGACTGTGCAGGTGCTGAAGTTACCAGTAAAGTATTCTGGGTTTTACCCAAGGGCAATCAGAGGCCATTGGAGAATTTTGAGCAGACTTAAGTCAAGCATAATGACTGTGTCCTTTATAAGGCAGGAACAGAGGCTCGAATGACTTTGGTAACATTTCCAGGAATTGTGGGGCCACACAGCTGAAGAATAGCTTGCTAGGACTTAAACCAAAGGATGCCCACACTTTTTATTATTAAACATTAAGTGACACTGTACTGATATTTTCTCCTTCTCTCTCTCTCTCTCTCTTAATTCTGAAAAGAGAGCATCTACTATTACATTAAGGTAACACACTTCCATATACTTCTAGAATATGGGAAAAGATCAGAACTGGCATTATTAAGTCCCTACAAGGTATCAGACATTGTTATCCCATCACATAATAAGGCAAGCCTTATTCTCTGTATTTTCAAGATGAGAAAACTGAGGTTCAGAAAGTTAGGCAATAGCCCTTTGTTAGAAAGTAGAACAGTGGGGAAATGAATCCATTCTCTCTGGCCCCAAAGTTTAGATAAAACCCAGAACACTGCAGGGTTACCTTAATGTACTCTCCACCCATAATAGATAGAATGCAGGGGCAAGACTGGAAACACAGAGACCAGGTGGGGTCTTCTATAATAATCCAGGCAAGAGAGAATGAGTGGGAATTGAACATCAAATCCATTTGGATCATGAGGTAGAAGGAGGACTCCCTGGCTGGCTTGAGTCCTGAGAAGTGGTTGACATCATTCATTCTAGAGGGTAGGTTTGTGGAAGGGAGAGTACAGCTAATATGCTTCGCCCATTTCTGGGAATGGCAGGTAGGTAAGTGAACCTGGAGAGGTCTGGATCAGTGGCCTTTGGCATTAAAAGCTTTCCTTATTATAGAGCAGGTATATAGTGAATGCTTGCTGAAGTGATGATTCATCTTGATTTATGACCATTGGCTTTGCCAAATGGGCCTTCTTGGCCCTCAAGGTCAAACTCCTAACATTCCCTATACTCTCATCTCCTTTCTTCTTTTTCCTGAGGATCATCTCCAGAGCGCTCCCCTAGATCAGAATGTGAGTGAATAAGAATGGTATTTTATTAAAATCTACCTTTTCTATCTTATAGAAAAGATTGAGAAGAAAAAGATAATTCATAAGGGGCTTGGTATGGTGGCTCATGCCTGTAATGCTAGCACTCTGGGAGGACAAGGCAGGTGGGTTCCCTGAGCTCACAGGTTTGAGACCAGTCTGAGCAAGAGTGAGACTTTGCCTCTAAAAATAGCTGGGCATTGTGGTGAGGGCCTACAGTCCCAGCCACATGGGAGGCTGAGGCAAGAGAGTCACTTGAGCCCAAGAGGTGGAGGTTGTTGTGAGCTATGACACCATAGCATTCTATGGAGGGTGACACTGTGAGACTGTGTCTCAAAAAAAAAAAAAAAAAAGGAAATTCCCCCAGTTTGCAAGAAATTATACCAAATCCCCCAAAGCACTGCTTTACAGATTCTAAATCATGTGCCTGGCTTTTAAAATGGGAATCTAAAATCTCCTGGAAAAAAAAAAAGAGTGATTTATCACTTCAATCTTGCAGTCTATGTAAGACAGACATTTTATTCTTGGGAATGAATAGTCATGTTTACCTCAAAGCAGACGGAAACGTGACCAGAGAACTTGGCTTTTAATGGCCTATAGCCAACTAAAATAAGCACACAAAATTATGACTACCACTAGGCAATGAAACATCATTCTTCAGTGTCCCAGTAACTTTCTGTATTTCTCAGCAATTTCTTTTCTAATTTGATGACTTCAGGATAATCTTCTATTATAAAACCATGGGATCTGGTCAATAGGAAGTTGTTAAATCTTAAATTTTAGATACCCAAGTGACACTCTGAAAAAGGACCAAACATACTGTATTTATTGCAAAGTAAATACATGCCACCCTTGTCTTCTTTAGCAGGTAGCTAATTGTGGACCATTAGCTGAAGCTAAGGCACCAACCTAGCAATGAATCTAAGACAGGCTTTGCTGTGACTCATGAGCTTGTCATATCTCTAATAGAATAGGGCTTCACTTGGTAAATGCCATCTCTTCCTCCTGTACCAAAGATGCCAGAACTATTCGGATAACTATCACAGCTCTAGCAGGTTAGTTCAGCATGATGATTTCAGTCAACAATAGAGAAAACTTAAGATATAGAAGAACTTAATTGCCTGAACAAAACCAAGGAGTCCAGATTCAGGCCCTGAACTCTTCACTGAAAAGAACCAAGAGTCAGACTCAAAGCAGCAGATCTCAAACTAATACTGAAACAAAGCTTACCTTGGGATGTGAGCCAGGGGGAGCTGCCAGATTCTAGCAGCATAAATAAGTCTATGAAGTCTCACTGGATATGAGATCCTCTCTGAGGGGTCATGAAGCTGCTGGGGTTGGTTTCGATGGCTATGGAGCCTGGGAAACAGGGTCAATCTGGAGCCCTTGGTGACCTTTTCTCCTTTTTTAGGGGATTTGGGGAAAGTGGAAAGAGGAGAAGGCTGATTTCCCTGCAGCAAGGGAGCATGCCTGGGGAATGACACAAGCCTGAAGATGTGGAAAAGCCCAAATAGCTCCAGGGTAGAGAGGCAAAGCCTTCCTCCAAATAGAGGGTATTTCCCTAGTGCTCTGGCAATTAAATAAACAGTTTTCAGTGCTAATTTGGCTGTCCATTTTTCTCAGAAGAGGAAAGAACCAATCTGTAAGGGCCTACTTGACTGGAAAAGCAGCCTCTTTTGTTCTGCTTTAGGATGGGAAAGTGTCGAGCCTTTTCCTGATATTAGTCATGCTTTGGAGTCATGAATGGAGAACAGTAGAAATAGCCTTTCTTTGATATAGGCCAGTGGACGTCCCATTATAAAAGTTATAATAACCACCCATTACTGAGTGTCTATGATGACCTATATGCATTAAGTGCATTTTTCATTTCAGACTCACAGATACTTTAAGAGGAAGAGGTCATTATTATTCTTTTATAAATAAGGAAACCAGAGTAAAGAGATGTTTGTAAATTGCTTAAGGTCACACAACAAGTTGGATGTGAACCCAGGTTTGACTCTGGCTTAACTACCCATGAAATGCGAGAAACCACAGGCTGTGGTCAAGAGAAAGGTTCAGATTTTGTCAGGGTCACAAAATTCACCTTATGCTCTCCTCCCCAGTGTTTCAATTATTATGAAGTGGATGGTTTCTAGTTGACCTTGATAGTTGTAGTTGAAGTCTTCTAACAATGTTAACTTGAGGACTAAACACATTTTTGGATTTCCTGTTGGATTACAACTGTGTTTGATGCTCAACCTTCATGAAAATCCCACTGGTGGTTCCATTGACCATGTACTGGGGCAATGAAGCTCTATCTGTGAACTCGTCAGAACTGCATATCCTCAGGCCCTGAACCACACTGCTGACTCAGAAATGCTGGGGATTTAGCCTAGCTCCATGCGTTAACCAGCCCTGCAGGTCATTGGGTATATGCTAAAGTCTGGGAACCATTGCCATGAACCATTAGGAGGGGTACCCCTGTAATTTTTTCACATGGAAAAAATAAAGCTTCTATTTTTTTCATTCTTTTTTTTTTTTTTAAGGTTTTACCTCATTTCCAAATCTTCATTCTCTTGTGGTACAAATTTGTACAAGGCAACGTAGGTGTTCATTTGTAATGGGTCTTTGGAAAGAGGTTCCTAAAAAAGAAAGTAAAAGAAAAATGAGAAAAGGAAGGGGAAAGAACCTGAGAGAAGAAAGAAAATGGGAAATGGAGACATTACTGCAATGTAATTTCAGTGGATGCAATTTCAGTGTTAAAGTATCTATTGTAAAAGATTTCCTTTCAACCTTAGGTTTATTTTTAATTTCTTAACTGAATTTTATTTTACGGCAGATCATTCAAAAACAATTATTTGGAACTTCTTTGTCAGAAATACTGCAGTTTTATTCAAATGTATTTTCTTTGATGTAGTTGTTCAAAAAATTAATTACAAAGTTTGTACTCAGGAATGGCAATATTCTGTCTCACAAAATAGGGAGAAATGAATAGGAGTAAACAACTCTTACTTCCTAAAATTATATTTTTATTAATTAGCCTAAAAGTTGACATATAGTATATCAGTGAGAACTAGATTTAGTCATCTGGCCATTAGTTAATTTTTGTTTAGGAATTTTGTAAGGAAAAAGCATAGACTTTGCATTCAGATTGATTTATTTATACCTACTGCTTATGAAATCTTACAATAAAAGCTACTATTTTTGATGGTTTACTATGGGCCAGGCACTATGTTACATGCATTAGCATACTTGAATTTCACAACAAGACTGTTGCAAAATTGTTGTAGATTCCATTGTTGTCTTCAATTTATAGACTATAAAAGACTTTTTAAGTGTAAAATATTCGCTATTCTTACTAACCAAATAAATAAAAGATGTATACTTGATAATAAACAAGTTAACATTGTATATCATGTAATATATAACTACATAATACATATATACAATAATATAATAAATACATGCTACGTACAAACTACATGAGTCTTTTAATCTATAACTCACTCTTTTTCAATGCTTAGGTATCTTACCCTATATTATTCTATTCTATTCTAATTATATATATGTGTGTATATATATAAATGAACATATCTGATATGAATTACTATAAAATACAGTTGATAATATATAATTCTATGATTTATAATCATATAGTATATGTAGAATTGTATATAACAGAAACAAAAGATGAACAACAAACTACTTATCCTTTTTAACTTTAGTGCACTGTGATATTTCTATTTATTCTATGATACCTATGTTGTGGTACATTATGCTACATTATTCTATTCTATTCTCTTAAAATGCTGGTTTGGGACCCACTGAACTGATTTCATGACCCACTTGGGTGGTGACCTCCTATATGATCTAAGGACTTCTGAGTTGCCTTCTGTGACATCCATAAATACCTGGTGGTTTATGTTCTTGGCTTGGTCTCTGAAATCATCAGTGCCATTTTCTGGATATGTAAACACTAAAGGAGACAAGAGAAAGCAGGTGATTTATGAATCTAGTCACCAATTTTTGGAAATGTGCCTAAAAGATGGCTTTATTTATTCCATGTTCTATAGATTCTACCTTACCATTCATTGCCTTAGTTACCAGGGTTTCAGGTCATCTTCTATATGACTTTTCCTCTGCCTCCCCATATAGAACTCTGTACCATCTTCCTTGCTCTCCCATAACCTTTCTGTATGCCTGCCTAGCATTTGTCCCCATGCCTTACTTGGCAATTTTTTTGTTCAAAGTTTGGTCTCATTTGGCAGAGTTCTTCTCAGGAGCAGAAAACTGTGTCATGCATCTTTGCTGAATGTATCAAACTAATGGTATGGGGGGTGAGGTATCATCCATTTTAGTTGTATTTGAATTGTTTTTTCTAAACATAAGATTCTTTTTTTTTATTAAATCATAGCTGTGTACATTAATGTAGTCATGGGGTATAGTGTGCTGGTTTTATATACAATTTGAAATACTTTCATCAAACTGGTTAACATAGCCTTCATGGCATCCTCTTAGTTATTGTGCTAAGACATTTATATTCTACATTTAGAAAGATTCACATGTACCCTTTAAACATAAGATTCTTTAATCTATATTCAATACCTTGATTCTTATTTCTTGAGGAATCTGTATTATATTTTGCAGATTACAGCTTTAGTTTTAAACTTCAAAATATTCCTTTGATCTCTTATCGTTAATGTATTAGGGCTATTATCTGGTTTTTCTTTCATGAATTGTTGGAATATATAATTCTCTTCCTTTTGTATTTAAGCAGCTAAGCTGTGGTCTTTGATACAGGATATTCCTTCTCAAAATTGGCAAGAGTTTTCATTGTCCTCATACATGGCTGTGTGAATTGTCTGATGGATATTGTCTGGGGTCTCTGCCATGGCTAGTTTGATCTGCCTAATCTACTCTGGTGACTAACACCCTAATCTTATTACTTAGAGCACATTCACCTTCCCTAAACAAAAACATGGTAAATGGTTCAAAGCAGTGGTGTCTAAATTAACCTATTATTTAGATGACTTAACATTTTAAAATAACACATTGCTCCTTTATTCTTCCCTTTGATTTCTCTTCATATTGTCCAGGAAATATCAGTAGAGGGAGGGAAACACCACAGAAAGCTCTATAACCTATTTCATTAATACAGTGACATTGTCTCCTGTTCTTAAAATAGACTCAACAACTGTGATGTCAAAAACATGCTTCAAAACAAGATCCATTTATTAATAAATGTACTGATGCTTATTACATATCTGTTCTCCTCAGTTTATAGTTACAGAGTTTATGGATGCAATTCCATTATTACAGAGTTTATGGATGCAATTCCCTAGGAAGCTGATATTCAGTTGTTGGTGGAGCTTTTAGTCCATGGGTAAGTGGAAAATGAAGGCCTCATTCTATGGGACTTCTCTGCCTTAATATTTGGCCACTCAAGTTGATGTTTACAAATGTAAAAAGAGTAGAGATTAGCACAATCTTTTTCTGATATTATCTGACCATTTGAAACTCTGGTGTAAACACCAGCATATAAAACTGGATACTTTAAAAGAATATTAAATATTCACATGGAAACAAGCAAAGAAAATCTTCCTAGAAAATTCTTGAATTGGGACAAAAGGGAGGGGCTACATAAAGAGCGTATGTAATGTTCCTTTTGGACTGATTTTACAATTTTGTAATTTCATGTTATTGAAGCTTTTATTGAATATCCATCTGGCCATCAAATTCAAAATGTGTAGTGTTTTTGTGAGCTATGATGAAAATGATTTGAAGTGACCCCAAATGTGTTTTCAGATATATGGTCGCAAGCAGAAATGGAAGGTTGCAAAAATGATTTTCAAAACCTATTCCTTCTGGCCATTTCTAAGACTTTGATTGAAGGGAAGAAGAGAAAAAGAAAGGAACTATTTTACTGAAAATGTATCTTATCCTTTTGGGTTTGGTGCTTTAAATTCTTTTATTAAAAATAATTTGGTTGTCTATTTCACCCATGACAAGTATTCAAAGAATATGTCCATTATGCAGGCATATTTGCTAATGTTATGGAAACAAAATGAATCTTTAGTTTTCACCACATCCTCCAAATAACTTTATTCTTTTCCTTTCTCATATGTTATCCATCTTTTATACTTTGCAGACCTGTGAGGCCTATGTCTACCACTATTTGTGTGTGTGTGTGTATGTGTGTGTGTGTGTGTGATGATTATTTGTTTGTCTTTTTAAATCTGTAATGTAGCAAGTTACATTACTGGATTATCTGGCATTGACCCAAATTTGTGTTCTTGTAGTAAGTTAAATTTGGTAATTATGCAGCACCTTTTAAAAATTCATTGTGGGGCAGCGCCTGTGGCTCAAAGGAGTAGGGTGCCAGCCCCTATATGCCGGAGATAGCAGGTTCAAACCCAGCCCCAGCCAAAAACGGCAAAAAAAAAAAAAAAAAAAAAAAAAATCCATTGTGGATTCAGTTTACTAAGATTTCATCTCAGACTTCTGCATCTATTTTCAAAAGAAAGACTGCCTAGTGATTTTCCTTTCTTACACTTGTCCTTGTTTGGTTTTGAAGTCAGTATTATACAAGCCTCATAAACTAAGAGAATGCCACTGCCCTTCCTGTTAGCTACTTTTTGTTTCTCTGACAGAGCTTAAGTAATCTGCAAATTTTCCATTCCTTAAATGTTCAGTAGAATTTACCTATAAATTTACTCAGGACTGGTATTTCCATTGTGAAAAATTTAAAATACTGATTGAGATTCCGTAAGGATTCTAAGCATATTCAAGTTTTCTATTTCTATTTCTTCTTGAGTCAGGTTTTAGTCATTGCTATCTTTCTTGATATCTACTCATTTAAAAAAGTTTAAAATTTTATTGGCATGATGTTGGTTACCAAATTCTTTTACTTTCTTTTCAATCTCTGGTATGTTCATTTTTTTGTAATTTTCTTGTTTCACCTCTCTTTTATCTTTAAAAAACTCTTAGAGATTGTACGTTTTATTTTTTTTTTTAAGTCACTCATCACTTCTCTGTTCAGATCAAGAGTAAAAAACAATCACTCAAGGTTTATTGATTTATCTTTGTAATTTAATACAAAAGAACCTCTGTAAGTTGGCCTCCCAAGGGACTGTAACATACAGAAGTGGTCAACATAGAGAACTGGACCTACTGTACTAATGATAAGTACATTGATGCATGTCCGGTTTATGAAAATTAGGTTAACTTAACCAGGTGTTCAATGTAGGGAGGTGGTCAACTGTGGAGTTCTACTGTAATTTCTGTTCTTATATTTATTATTACTTTTCTTGCTTTTGTTGGGTTTATTCTATTTTTTAATTCTTAAGTATAGTGCTTAATTTATTTACTTTTCAGACTATTTTGTTTTCTAATAGTATCATTTTAAAACACAGTGCTCTAATCACAACTATAGCACTATCTGACAAGTTTCACATGTGTTGTTTTAATTCCACATGTTCTCAAAAATGTGAATCTTCCACTTGTTAGATAGTGTCCTTTTTAGTCAATTAGATTAGGATTGTCAAATGTGTTATCAAATCCTCTGGATCTAAACTGAAAACTTTTGTCTGTCTGATTTACTAATGACAAATGTATTTTATTTTATTTATTTTTATTTATTTATTTATTTTTTTGAGACAGAGCCTCAAGCTGTCCCCCTGGGTAGAGTGCTGTGGCATTACAGCTCACAGCAACCTCCAACTCCTGGGCTCAACCGAGTCTCCTGCCTCAGCCTCCCAAGTAGCTGGGACCACAGGCACCCGCCACAATGCCTGACTATTTTTTTGGTTGCAGCCGTCATTATTGTTTGGCGGGCCCAGGCTGGATTCGCCACCTTAGGTGTATGTGGCTGGTGCCTTAGCCACTTGAGCCACAGGCGCCGAGCCGACAAATGTATTTTAAAATCTCTCACTATTAAAGGGGTGCCAATTTTCCTAATAATTTGGTCAATTTCTCCTGGTGTTTTTAATCATTGTTCAGGCTATGTATTAGATATACCCAAGTTTAAAATTTATATCTTCTGATGAAGTGGACATAACCATGCTCTTCATCTCTTTTCAACCAAAGCTTTTTGGTATCTTAAAGTTCATTTTTGCTTATTAATATAGCCAAATAATTTTTCTTTTGCTAAATATTTGCCTGTGGTTTCCCCTTATCTCTGTATCTGAAAAGTTCTTTATTTTGCCTATGTTTCCTCCCCCTTGTGGTAACTTTAAAAAATAATTCCAGCTGGGTGTGGTGGCTCATGCCTGTAATCCTAGCAGTCTTGAGGGCTGAGGAAGGTGCATTGCCTGAGCTCACAGATTCCAGACCAGCCTGAGCAAGAGTAACACCCCAGCTCTAAAAATAGCCAGGTGTTGTGGCAGGTGCCTGTAGTCCTAGGTACTCTGGAGGCTAAGGCAAGAGAATTGCTTGAGTCCAAGAGTTTGAGGTTGCTGTGATGATGCCATGGCACTCTACTGAGGGTGACAAAGCAAGACTAGTTCAAAGCAAACAAATAAATAGATAGATAGATATAAATAAAAAATAAATTCCTTTACTTTTCAACTTTCTATAACCTTATGTTTTCGATATTTATAAACAGCATATGGATCATTTTAAAAATCTGACAAACTTTACCTTTTATCTAGTGTTTAGCTGGTGCACATTGATTTTGATTACTTGTAAGTTGGGATTCCTCCCTAACATTTTATTTTGTATTTCTATTTGTCCTAACTTTTCTATGCTTTTTCTTGTAATCTCTCGTCACTTGCTTTTTTCTTCCTTCTCATCATTCAGTTTTGTCTTTTTTCTGATTTGAAAAGTTTAAACTACTTTTTATTCTTTCTGTAGTTGTCCTTAGAAATTTTAAGGCATATTTAATTTAAAGTGAAATAATATATTTAATCTTTAAACAATATATTTATTCTTGTAAACAATACAAGAATCTTTGAATGTCCATTTCCAACTTAAATACCA